ATCGTTTCAGAATCTGCGATGGAATGAATGTTGGGACAAAATTGTTTTTCCACGAGTAAAGAAAATATCTCTAAAGTAAAGGATAACATTTTTTTTTTCACTCATTTAGTTTTTGGAGGAAAGTTCCAAAGCAATGAACTATGGCATATGATATAAAAATGAAATGCATCATGGGATTGTGCAAATTTATATCTATCTGCAATCTTACATTTTTTGTGTGTAAACAATGGTGCAATTAAATAACTAATTGTAGTTCGTTAAATGTATTTTATATAATATTTTAAAGTATTGTCATTATTGCATAGGCATATGGTAATTTGACAATTGAGACTGTGCCCATAGCAACCAAGACTTTTCTTTCAACTTCTGTATAATTCTGACCAATAAAAATTCTAATTGTAATTGATATATTTTGTTCATGTCATTTCATGTAAATAAAGAAATATAATAAATGAATCTCATTATTGAGTCTTTCTTATAGAAAGTAATTAATATTTTGTATTTGAGCTGCCAAACTGTTTTTTCAGATCTGTGCTATTTACAAATCTTATTGTGTGTTATTTTCATACCAAATTTTCTTTTAAAGAAGAATCCTACTTATGAATTTTAGCTATTGTGCACACAAACAAACAGTCAGGTGGGTTAGTGTTGATCTGTCTGTGTTTGTGTATAAGCACAAATCTCAAAAACTTCTAAGCAGATTTTGATCAAATTCAGGTAATGTGCAGATATTATTAGTTGTCCACGAGCGGATTTAGGGGGAGCCCCCCCCCCTTCAGCCCTAGCAATGACATTTCAGTAATTGATTACAAAATGCATGAATGAATAACTGAGGCCCCAAAAAATTGGTTTTGCTGCTTCTCCCACTGCTTATTGAAAAATGACGCAATATTGTTTTAAAAAGTTTTTTTTTAATCAATACCACAAGAAGAAGATATATGTTTAACATTAATTAAATAACGCTTTTGAATACATGCATTAAAAGTTAATTTAAATAGACAAAACATCCTCTAAAACAGAAAACAAACTTTACCCCATTCTACTGTATGTGCCACACTTCACTAGTAAAAATTACAAGACTCAATTTTAGAACTAATGCTCTTTATAACAAGAAGCAAAACCTTTTATTCTTGGCCTAGCCCGAGGTTTTTTGTAATCAGCGTCTTTAATTATTGTAATGCAAGTTGGATCTTGTCATTATTTGTAATTGATTGCTCCCTCAGGGTCACATGATACACTCTTTGATTTCAACAACAATAAATTACATTAAAGTTCTACTTACAGTTTGTATTGAGCTGGTGTGTTATATATCAGGGGGAGTGTTTTCACAATCGGGGGGGGGGGGGCAAGCAGCTTGCTGTAATACCATGAAAATGATTTAAATTCACAGTTGGTACAGTGTAGATTCCTTGTAACAAGCATGGTCTACCTAACTATTGTTCCACTGGTTACCTACTTTCCAGATAATGTAGAATATTTTATTTTCGCTGGGAATTAATTTTCGCTGAAGGAATGATTCAGTGAAAATAAAATTCAGCGAAAATACAGTTTTTCTTTATTTTACATTCAACTTGTCAAAAATCAGTGAAAATACATTCCATACAAATCTTTTCAGCCAAAATAAATTCCAGCTAAAATAAAGTATTTTACAGTAGTGTGGACTTGCTTTACATTACACATGTAAATATATTGCAACATTGGGGAGAATGGGAAGGTCATACTTTTTAATGGTGTTGGTTGATATTGTGTGTAGGAAAAAAAAAGTATAATCTTTTGTTTGGAAAAAATTAGCATATTCAGATTAGCCAATCAAAAGTGTAGTCAACTATCGGCTGTGGTGGCAGAATCATAGCAGCAAGGAGCCTCCAACAAGACGAAGTCGAGTCGTCTGTTGAATGGAAGTAAATTGTAATAAAGTGAACCAAGCAAAAAAAAATTGGCTTACACGTCATACGAATAAAAATATTCATGCTTGCGTATATGACAGAGGTGTGTCTATAATCAATATCAGTCATATTTTTAAGGGCGGCAGTCGTCGTGCCGCGTCCTGTTCGATATGGGACTCATAGCGACGTATACAACGCATGTAAAATACATTGTTTATTTACATCCGCTGCGCAACGACTACCGCGATTTAATGATCCGGTATACTGTACAATAAATACAGTGTCTAGTTTATTTGTTTCTAATAAACTGGAGCAAATATGCTATTGTTATTTTCAGCTCTTGAGTAAAGCACTGGGTGATACAAAACCTGATTATGGTAATATTTGTGCCTATCAATTTGCATAATGTTTGCATGTAATTTTGGAGTGCACGTTTTGTCAATTGAGTAATTTCTTCAAATCTTTTAAATTTTTATACTTTTGAAACATGTACTGTTGATTTTTATTGTATAAATTCTTTAAAATTTCTGTCATAAAATAAAAGCTAGACAAAATCAGAGTTTTACTGGCTCTTTTATTTATTTGGTGGGGGGTACAATGTCGGGCAAAAAGCCGTACCTTAGCTAAAAACATATTTATAAAAATTGTAAATACCGACCAATCGCTCTCATTCAAATTCAAATATTTTGTACATACAATAGTGGTTGGCTCGGAAACTCTACTACTTCCTTAATCCTTTTCATATGAAACTTACCTTCTTCTACCACGCCCTCTTGCGGTAGTTTGAACTTCCTTCTGTTTCATGAGGAAAATACTGTGTCATGTCATGTTATTCCCCTGAGAATTTTTCCCAGGTCTCACCCAAGGCACTATCTCCAACAGTTCAAACACAGGGAGTAGGAGAAATATATTATCAGCACAAATTTATAAAATATGAATATTTTTTTAATCAACCCCTCATGTATACTTTACTGTCCTCTTTGACGATGAACTTCCCTAATGTTTAAGGAGAGCATTCCATTCTGTAAAACGGTGGCGAAGGTCATTGGCAAGGAGATCAGTTCATTACACCGGGGGGGGGGGTTTAGATACAAACTATTTATTGTACATTTTTCAATATAATATATTTTTCCTATTCCTTGTGGTTCGACTATATTTTCTGTGAATGTGCAAACTCTGACAATAAGTGCGCCCTCTAGCGATAAACATAGGCAAGGACGACGTGCTTTTTTTCGACCGGCCGCCATTTTGTCAGTGTCAAGGTGAAAATGGCGTATGTGCTGAGATTGTCTTCGCGACAGGTAATATAATTATGCTTTCTCTTCTATTACATACCTTCAGATTACATTAGCAAAACTGAATCATCCTCGTGCATCTCCTTTTTCAGTTTTATAGTGAAAAAACTTTTATCATAGAAAATATTTTGCAACGATATGTTACAGTGCCCGGCACCGGCATTTTTACATTAGCTCTGCTCACGCAACATGCGTACATCTAATTTGTAATCGTTGCTTTTTATCGTCTGCTGTTGAACATGTACACCAGTATCCTGTACCTGGCAACATCAGTTGAACTGGGTGAATTAAAACGCATAATTAATTTGTTTCGTGACAGTCTGGATGAACTGAACGTTTTTTTTTTATCGACAACTTTCTTTTAATTTTAATCACCAGAAAAGTCGAGAATGACATTAAATATATTTATTTACATTAAAATGCTATGCTGTCGTCGTTCTTGGCAATATTTACTCATTTAATTTCTATTCTTACAGGTGCAGCGGACGTTATGTCCTGGGCTGCATGTCCGCCTGTTACAGACTTCAGGAGCAGCCTCACAAAAGGTACTGTCGGTTTTTTTTTACCACCATCAGCTTTCTATTATTTCGCACACCAGACTCTTAATTGCTTGTTTTATTTTGGACACCATTGTATTTTCCATAGCTACAGTTACTTTGGCCCACTGTAAAATTATATTGGTGATTACTTAATAGGCCAGGCAAATTACGTAATACCCCAGTCAAAGTAACGTTTTATTGAAATTAAACTTGATCCTGTGCCAATATTCATGCATACAATAGTTAAAAAGTTTCATTGACCAAACGGGCAAATGTAAATCCATCAATCAATTGCTGTTACTCTAAATCATGTAAAAAAAACTCAACTCAATGTACTATATATTATATTAAGTGCATGTGAGCAAAAAATTGCATAAATATTATGCTGAATCATTTAATATAATACAGCATATTTCGACCATCTGTCATTTATGTAAGTTGCTGTTAGAATAAATATGGTATTCTTTGTAAGGCTGTCAGCTTTCAAATATACCGGTACACTCTAAGATAATGCGTTTTGTGACATTTGGGAGTATTTGTATCAGCAGGGGTTAAAAAAATGGTTGTCAGAGCTCTCGAAATCTAGATTTCATTACCAGACTATTGATTCCAAAATTCTCCGTAAACGACTGAAAATTGTTAAGTTGTACTAATATTTAATTTTCATAAATGTGCCAAAATGCCAAAAAACAACAATCGTGTGTTATGTTGAGAAAAGCAATCACCATTGCTCATATTTAGATTTATGCTAAAAATAAATAAAATTTATCGAAGTGTTATTCTTGTCTACTACAATAGCAGCGACTTTCATTCAAGGCTTGTGAATTTTTTTTTTTTTTTTCACTTATCCTAAACTAGTTGGTCTGGTTGAAATTGTACATTGCAGAAAATGTATTGGGTAATAGTTAAAGTTGGCCATTGTAAATTGCAGTTAAACTTTAGAAGACAAAAATCATACTCTGATTAAACTGTTGAACAGCATCTAGGAGTGCCACCATTTAAACATACTTTAAAATTATTTCTCATATTTATAACATCCATTATTTCACATAATAGTCCAAAGAAAACAATTAAAACACATATTAAATAACATATTTAGTAAAGGACAAGGAACACTGTGAATGGTACCAGAGCTTAAAAATATCTGTTTTGACATTAACAAAATATTGTGATGTTTTATCTGTCATTGTTGTCTTGAATGCTGTCAAATATTATTGCAGGTTTAACCTTTGCCTTTTCTGGACAGGATGTTACATGCCCCCATAAACTTTTTAGGCATTTATTATGATGACTCGTTGTACTTAGTACTGTCTACTGGAATGCACGTTTTTCTAATCTCTATGTACTGTACAGTTATGTTAATCGTTAATTGAGGCTATAGACTATCTTATTGTCAGTGTTCAGACTTATTATTATGATGGACATTTAATGAATTGTCCAAAGTGATTTAAGTATATTAAGATGCCCCACTATGAAGCTGTAGTATCAACATTTTATCTCAGGCGAGACTTTATATCCCAGAAGAGTTTGATTAGGGGAGCATTATCTGACTTAGAACCCATGACTCCAAACTATCTATAGAGATGTATTTTGCAAAATTTCTCATACTTAATGAAGGCTTTTATTGAGTCCTACTTTACATGAAATTTGTAATGGGAAAAGGGGCATGCTCCAATTTTTAAATAGAATATGCTATAAAAATCTGTGAACATTTGTTTTTCAATGCGTGAATGAGTGCACGTGTGCGTGATTGTTGACATCTCAGAATTTGTGGTCATTGTTCGCATATAATTTACAGGTGATCATCATTGCATATTGATCATTTTATGAATATTCATGATCTAACACGGTAAATCATAGAATGAAATAGTCCAAAGGCCAATGACCAACATAGAGTTCCAGTTACCTTTATGATGTGTCCTAGAACAAGTTGTGAGAAAAACAATTTGGCTAACTCTAAAACCAGACTAACTATAACTAATCTCAATAACTTAGTTCATACCATCAGTTTAGAGTTTGATATCGTCTCTCGATATATATCCGTACTAGTACATGAATGTTTTGTCAGTCTTTCACTCGTAGTTGTCAATTTTTGTGTACATTGTTTAATTTATCATAATAACGCATGTGCAAAATAAACAACGCAATGGTGACCAGTGACAACTGGTACTATTGCTTTAAAATCTGCTCACAGATGTCTTTCTTTTCACTTGTGCTATTTCAGTATCTCCTAACCGGGCTGCAATTTTTTAGGTTCCTTCATTTTGACCTTGTTTTCCCATCCACACAACAATCAATGATTTCATTTTTGACTCCTCTCACACTCGTAGCCATAGTTGTTGTGATTGTGAAAAGGTTTTGAGACAGTGCTACAAAGCTCACAAACCTGATTCGCATATTCAGTCAATGATAGTGTGGATTACCCAATCTGGTGCTTGTTTCTACTGTAGTTAGAGTGGCTATGGCACTCTTTTCTAGGCATTTTTTATTTAGGCCAGCCTAAATATTTTGGTTTGTGTTCACGTACAAAATTTAGGCAAGCCTAAAATTTGGGTAAGCCTAAGGCTGGCCTTAATTTCTGGTGTGAATCTACCTTATGACTGTGTTTTTCCATTTTTTCACTGCTACAACTTGCCAGTCGCCAGAGGCAGTCACATTAGTTCAGCGGCTAGGCATTGTGAAATAACCATTGTTTACCACGACTGTTACAAGTAATGTATCTGCATGTATATTTGCCAAATGAAAACAAGTACACAACAGGTAGTCTTATTTTGGGATTACAGCAAGACAGGCTGTACTGCTCATTTAATTTAGACTGAACTGGTATTAAAGTTGCAGTGTGAGAGCATTTTAGGCTTTATTGGGGTTTCAGGACTTTTATGTTGAATAATTGATTTTCTAAATTAGCACTAATTGTGGAAAATGGATGATAAAGGAAAACACTACATCCACACACTAGCGATAATTTTGGCTTCCCAGTTGTATGTTCAAATTTGCTAAGACTTTTAAGTGCTCCAAAGAGCATAGATTCACAAAGTTTTAATTTTGTTCTGAATTACTGCAGTAATTGGAAACAAAGCAGAATCCTAAGGAATCATACATATAAAAATTTGTTTACAACTCTATCAAGGGGGATTTGGATTATAATTGTACGATCTAAATCCTACTTTAAGCCGATAAACCAAATATTCTCCCTGGTTTTCAGAGAGAGAACAGCCAACACACTTTACGAGGAAAACATGAAAACTTGTTACTTTATTTCAAGTAATATTACGTTTTAAGGGCTGCTGAGTCCAAAAAAGTACACTAAATGAACCCAAAAGCACGCCTTAGAAATATACCCATGAAGAATTTTCTAGTATTTGATCTATTTTTAACACTTTGGCTACTTTATTGACATTGGATGTTAATCCTATTGATTTAGCTCTTGAGTTGACAGAAAACAAACATACAAAATGTGTGCAGAATGGCCAAAACACATACAGGACAGGACTATGCAGAGAAATTATAAGCAGAAAATTTAATATCTAGTTTTTTTCCTGTTATGCAAGCAAATTCAGATCATTAAATGGCTAGCATGATTGTCTGAAGACGCCAATAAAACCATAATAATGCTGTTCTCCCAGGGTAACTTCAAGTAATAATAAACTCCTACAGAAATTGATACTTTGTAACATTAATCCTTCTGATTATTCTTGCAGAAAGTGTGTTTCGGGGGGGGGGGGTGAAGTGGTTAATTCCTGCCAGGTTTGTAACATACCCATATCAGTGTCTTGATATGAAATTCAAATAAGGTTACACTTGGTGTACATTCGGGTAGCACAATCTTTATTTATTTCATTGATTCCAAATCACTCTAATTGGTTGCTCATTATTGTTTTTGGTGAAATGTGCTTTAAAATTGTATTTTTTCATATATTATTAAATGGCTTTATTTTATTTTGCTTGTTTCTTGAAGTGAAATGGCTGAATTCTGCCACTTGGGGCATGTATGCTGTTGGGATACTATTGTTTCAGGTTAGGTAACCATGGATGTGGCTTTCAGTCAATTTAAATATTTTCAAACATCTAATGGTAGTTGAACACCGTCTAACAATTCAAATTTGACGTCACTCATGCAGAGTTCTCGCCAGGAATTAAACATGTTGAGTGCAATTGTTCTATCAGTTTAGACAGTATGAGACAGTTACTCATCCATGTAGAGACAAAAATAAAGTATTTTGTTCCCCTTATAGTGGAGACAGTGTACTCAAATGTTTATTATGTTTGAATTTTATTCTACACTTGTTCTTCTGTCTTTTCTTACATTTTTGTGATACAATTTGTCTCATGAGAGTAAAAAAAACTGGGGAAAAAAACAAATGTAGCTTCAATTTTCCAAATGATACGAGTGTCATCTAATCAGCAATATTTTGTTACAACTGTTTAAAAATAGCAAATCACACCCTCTCGCGTGAATTTTAATCTAAATTGATAAATATTTCCAAAAATTTACCATTAAGCATATAATTTCAAAAATATTTATAAAACGAAGTATCAAAAAATAACTGCAGAACTTAGTAAATAAACAGTACTAAAAAATTCTTTTCAAAAAAACACAGGAGCACATGCCGTTTACATCTGGTATTTGCAATTGCATTGTTTACAGATAAAAAAAAGTGCTTCTTAAATAATGATTGATCTCTACCCATAATTTTGTTCGTGCGTTATAGTTTCTAGATTTACTATAATGATAACTTTCTTTGGTTCATAGATTGCTATGAGCAGGTTTGAAGACAAAAATTATGTCGGATATGAAAAACAAGAGGAACGACTCAGGATTGTTATGGATAGACTTGGAAGACCTATGACCCTTGCAGAAAAAATATTGTATGGACACTTAGATGACCCAGTAAATCAGGTGAGCAGAAAATGTTATGTTTGAATTGGAATGCTTGTGCAACAATAAAATATTGCATCTATAGTAAAAGTAGGCATTTTTTTGCCAGTGTGTTTTGTTGTTACAATATTTATAGTCCAGAAAACAATAGGTGCAACATAATTTCTCAGACAAAACTCCTTCTGGTCAAGTCAATGCAAAGTACATGGGGCCTGGTGGAATAAGGATAACTGTTATGCTGAGTCACATTACCTGTGTGCACTTTAAAATATTCAGAGATTCTGACAGCTAAAAAATTTGATATTTTTCAAAATTTGCTGAATTTACCGTCAAACATGCAGTGTAGCATGTTTGATTAGAATAAATCGCTGACTAACAGGAAAATTGGCTGATATGAGTAAATCATAAATACAAACAAAATGTTCTTTGTAACTGATTTAAGTTCTGTGTACAGTAGTAATTCATTTGTTCTGTTACATGATGCTACTCTAGGGAATAAATTATGCTAGC